TGTGAAAAATTGAAATTTACGGACGGCTACGGTTTCGCCTAAATGAGGTCGGTCACTATTATTTAGATTTGCCCGGGTTAAAACCGAAATACGACGTTTCGCCCAATTATTTTGTGGTCTGCCCGATTACGAATTTCGCCTGTAACACGCATATTATGTATTATAATTACATCATGAATATAATATTATATTCTGACATCGTTCTATTATCTGTCGCTTGTCAGTGGCTGATTTGGGGAGGGGAGCGACGACGTGGAGGTTGAAAAACAGAATATTTTCTAGAATTATATTTTAAAAGTGTTCGGAGGTACCATTTACCGGGTGGAGGGGTGTCCCGCCGGTGGTGTTTACGATAGGTATATTTAACGAATTTCAGACCTCTCCTTCAGAAAAACGGTCCGCGAGCAGATAGGCGACCCTTCCTCTTAACTGTTGGGCATTTCTCAATTACCCTTCCCAAACTAGTTGAGTTTAATTGAAGTTAGAACATTTTCTACGTGAAATACAATATATTCTTACAAAGCCTATACTAATATATAAACATAGTATAATCAGTCAAACAATTCGAATTATTTGATTATTCAATAATTTGCCGTTTATTTTCTACCGTACACGCAGTAATAGCGAAATCTTACTCAACTGATGTGTATACCTATCCGACAAGACTTCTGTGTGTTCCTTAAATGATAGCTTCAGATTCGCCACTGATTAGCCGGTCCTGTTTTCCGTGTATGCGCCCAAATCCAAAGTATCATTGTATACGAAATAATACTACCTAGTATTCGTGCGAATTGTTTAAGTAGAATAATATAACCGGCCATGTGTTCTTCCGTTTGTTACATTACATGTATAAATTGCATCGTCGTTTCACGAATCTGTAGTGTTTCGATGATTCAACTTCCGTGCACAAATCCAATTATTTCGCGTGTACGTAATCGCGCGTGCATTTGTCTATTTTCCTACGCTATAAACCCATCCAATTTTAGAAGTATTTTTATTAAAAAAAAAACTCGGGACAAAACTGCAAATTACTTTGCCCGCAATTTCAACGGACTAATCAACACTATTTCTCATTTATTCCAAAAACTAAAAAAAAAATTAAAAACGATACACCTTAATGCACCAACTAAATCAACAATACGTAATGAGAAAATGCCAATAATGTTAACGACAAGATCTCAGGTAGAAGAACCGTTTATAGACATGAAAAAAGAAATACAATATATATAGTAACTACGATACACATTCTGCGCTTCGTTCAAATTCTGAAATTACGTTTGAACAAATTAATGTATGACTAGTATGGGCGTTACTAAAATCAAAGTAGTTATTTTTTTTTCCCCGCTCGGAAATTACCGTATACGGCGTGAAATGTATAAAATAAAACGAGTATTATTGTATACGTATCGCCGGGGTTGGCAGACGGACGTCAAGATCGCCGGATAGTCGTACAACAGTATTAACGTGTATAGGACGGGTAACGCGAGGCGACTGCTCCCCCTCGCCGTCGCGCATAAGCCGCAGGGATTCGAGAGGGCAGGATTCGAGGATACGCGACAAATCCCCGGCGACCCAACCTCTCCGCGGCGGCCGAATTATAAGCTCGCCGCGGTGACTTGAGTTATAACTTTGATTTAATTGGTTTATTGTATATTTTATTGTACGAGAAGATATATGTATACAATATGCGTATACTTATAAAAACTCGAAGCTATATGTTTTCTCTCGTTCGTTCCCTCTTCTGAAGCAAGTATAATATATTCTTTTCGTGTAATGTTATTCTTGAATTTTTTCGTATCGCGACGATATAAACCACCGCCCCTCACCCCTTATCGGACCGTAAAACGATAAAAATTTATATTATCGCGGCGTTAAGGGGCGGGCGCACGGTATATCCGTTCGGTTCGGTTTTCTGACGTTTCGTGCGTGTCGGTTCGTATCAACGACTCGTGTGCGACCGAACCGAACCGAACGGACTCACGCGTACACAGAGGCTCTTGAGGGTTTAGACGACGATGACCGCACGGGGAAAAAAAAAAAGAAACTTTTTTTGAAACGAGTAAAAAACAAAAAGTATTGATTGTCAAAACAAGAAACGATATATTATAACGACAAAATGTCTAATGCTATTATACGATAATATACGAAAATATAGAATATGCTACATATCACATTACGAAATTGCGTGTCGTAACCATACTGATATCTAAAGTCGATTTATTACGTATAGACGATGTTTTTATCGATTAAAATCACTTTTTGATGGAAAAAAATTGTATAAAAAAAAAGGATCGAAACGGGACAGCCGCGGAAAACGGGGCTAAATATTGCGTCCTGTTCGATTCCGATCGGAAAAAACGGGACATCAAGCCGAAACGCTGGACAATCCCGTTTAAAACAGGACGTACATATTATGCGGTCATCCTAGAGTCTAGACGCCTGCGAAACTCAGCCAGCCGAGCCATCTTCCCCCCCCCTCGCCCCGTGCGCGCCCCTTAAATCGAGTAAATCGATATCGAGCAAACACTGCGGACGATATTACGGCGTATTTAACAAGCTCCCCCGCCCCCGCCCCCGAAATAAATCCGCCCGTTTCGAGTCGCTATCCTCGGGTGTATATGGTAATATATTAATAACGCACGATAGTGTATTGTCCCGTGTACTGCAATATTATTATTCGATACGTATGTATCGCGTCGGAAACTGCAGTTAAATTATTATAATTATAGATAAGTCATCGACTTGGTAAAGTTCAACGCGCCGGAATCGATACGTTTCGTATTATTAGTTAAATTACGCGTGTGCATGCATCACGACCGGTTTAAACGTATTTTGTTATTTTTTTATTTTATTTTTTTTCCCTATACGAACGGTCGCAATCATCTCGCGCGCTCATATCCGCACGGATATTCGCGACCGAAACACGATTTTCGAAAACCGACAAAAAAATAAAAAACCCCCGAATTTCTCCGACGCGTTGTAAGCGGACGTCGTACACGTCCGCGTGTGCCGTCTCCGTCACACAACCGCGCGTCACGGCAAATTTTCGTTCGACGGCGCTCGATGCTGTTAAAATTTAAAATTAGAGCGAATCGAAACTAAAAGATACGAACACCGTCCGTTGACGGTTAGTCGGGTTTTTCCGGCATTCTGGTTTTTGAACGAAACACGATCGACAAAAACGATTATGATTACCCGCTTGGAAATTAAACGGCAACGATTCAATATCTTCAAGCGTGATTGTAGTTTACTCTAATTTTAAAACAAAAACGCACACAGTTTGTCCCTGCCGAACGAAAATTGCCTATGTCTCGCGCGGTTGTATTACGGCGACAGTAGGCGTACAGTACTCGATTTTATTACCCAGCGGTTTAAAGTGTCGGCGCAACTGCTCACGGTCAACTGTCCGTGCGTTCAATCTGCTAATCCGGCGGATTGTTAAGCGTATTAAATTATCGGATCGCTGACAAAGCAAAACCGATTGCGGACCACCTCGACACTTCCTATCCGGCGGATCGGTCAGCGGCCGAGTTCAGGAACGGTAAAATCTAGCGGCTGACCAATCTGGCGGCGCCGGGTGGGCGGGCGGGTACGTATACTTTTGTTAGTTGACTGCAGCGCGGACTGTGAAAATATGCCTCTCGTGCGCCACTGCCTACGTGTCTGGTTGGCGCAAAAGACGGACGACCACCCGACGGTGCGCGCGGAAAAAAATAAAAATAAAATAATAAGGTCGGAAAGAACGGCGGCGCCGACGATACACGCAATCAACGCGCGGGCGACGAACAATGATAAATAACGACGGTCATTTTTGTTTCGCTCCCCGGAACGGCGGCGCGGCGTCGACGTGAGAAACGCGTCAGGTGACGGCACCGCGCCCGCCGCGCGCGCGCGCGAACGCCGCCGTCCGGGTTTCCGACGCGTCCGCTTTCGGTCGCGTCGACGCTTTTTGGCGCGCGCACGCACGCGAAAACGCGCCCGCCCGCAGCCGCCGCCGCCGCGGAACGCTGCAACAACAATGGATGGGACGCCCGCGGCGCGTTTATCGCCGTCCGTTCCGACCGCGCGGGCGGCCGGCGATTTGTTTTGCGGACGAGGTACGCACGCACGACAACCGCGTCGCCCCGCCCGGTCCCCGTCGCCGCGGCCGACAGACGGGTTTCGCGCCCGCGCTCGCCGTCGCGATAAAATACTATTTTTTTTTTCCCCCTCGACGGCCCACGGGCCGCGGCTATTGTCGTCGTCGTTCGCGGGCGCCGCCGCCGCCGCCGCGCCGATTGTCGGCCGTCCGTCAGCGCGCACACCGTCGCCGACCGCGCGCGGTCATCTTCCGCGGCGGGCACACCCCTCAAACGCAAACCCTCCTTTTCCGTCTGACCGCCCGGTTATTGTAATTGATCCGCGGGGGAGGGGGAGCGGGACATAACCTTGAACGGCGACACCTTGGACGAAAAAAAAAAAATAATAAACCGGCCAAAACTGTTTTTATTAATATTTTTTCGAGATTTCGTCGTTCGAATGCGCGCCGCGCGTGATTCCGCCGGAATTGTTTACTCGAGATTCTGACACGGACAACCCACCCGCTGCCGTTACGGTTACGGCAGTTCTTCGCGATTGCCGTCGCGCGAATAATGTTTCGTTGTCGCGTTGTGCGGGACCCGCGGGGTCGCATAAAATTTTAAGCGTTCGGTGAGTTCCCGCGCGCGGATTAGGGGAGCGTGTGTAAATATGTTATGGGTTCCTGCGTAGGCGAACGGCGGTAAACCGACACGAAGACATAACGAACGAACGATGACTACCTATTGTACACAAGAACCGGAGCTTCTCCGAATCGAATGCGTCGGAATTCCGGTCGGCCGTCATTAACAGAGTCGAAAAACGCTAGGAACCGGACGCGATATTTCGCGCGTCGCGTTTGGCGGACGGGAAAGAAACTTATATCGGCGTCCCCTTACCCCTCTCTCCCACGTTATGCGCGAAAGATCCAATCACTTCGCTCGCTATTTAGACGTCACCCTGTAGCCCATGACCGTCCCCGTATCGTATTTAACGCCGGTTCGGATATCACACATGGTCGCGTCGTCGTTTCCGGACGGTTCGTCGGGAACGCGCGGAAAATACGCGGCCGACACGGCAGGTCGTCGAGTTTTCTCGCTAAAAATCAGAGCGAATCGGACTTGAACATAGTAGCCGGGCGGCTGTCTATAATCGCGCATATTCATTTATGTGCCCGACGAAAAAGGTCGATGACGGGGAGACGTTATAATGTCATAATATCTCCTCGATTCACGCCGGCAAACACGCCGCCACTGCTGTCATCGCGATCAACGCCGTTTATCCGATAGCGAAATCCAATAAAATTACGACTCTCTCGAGAAGATCGACCCCTTGATTATCTCCGGAGATAATAAAGATAATCAAATTCTGTTTTTTTTTCACATTGCTCGCGGGGATGATGAATACAAATATTTACATTTTGTATTCAATTTTTTTTTTTTTTTTTTTTTTTTTTTTTTGTTATTATTTTGTAAAAAAAATTAAAAATAAGCGGCCATTCTGTAGAGTTTGTCTTTCTGAAAATTTCAATGTACCACACATTTATATCCGATGAATAATTTCTAATAGTAACGGCCGTTTTGAAATTCTACTAATCCGTGTGAAAAACAGAAAACCGATGTTATCGTCTGACGCGGTCAAGTTATTCCATAGATAACATCGGTTTTTCAAAAATAATAAAATAGTTATTTTTATAATTTTTGGGGACATTGAAATTTATTTGATAAAGGATCGCAGGGCAATCAATTGAGCTATTTAATAATTTAGATAGAAAAGATTAATTAGCATTTCGTGAAAACATTCGAGGACCGGGGAATAGCCACGAGGAGGACAAGGGATCTTTAAAGCGTAAGACGCAAAGCATAGGAATTCGCGTTGAACTCTGTGGCGACGACGCGGGGCTGATGACGTGAGGGGAAAAAAATGTGTCCGCCGACGGCGATGCAAACGGAGTGGCGTGTTTCGGATGGGAAAAACGCTTTAAACACTGCCGGAGCCCGCGCATATTTAAATTAGTTCCGCGTCAACATAATATAATAAATAAAAAAAAAAAACACTTTGCGCGGGGGTCCGTTACGACAAAAAGTTTTATCCGTTTCACGCCGTTTCTCCGTTCGTACGACAACAACGCGTGCGGTACAGCCGCCGTCTCTTCTTACTTACTGTTGCGTTGTTAATTGTTATTTACAAATGAACAACACGGCGCCTTTGCGTAATGCGCTGCCGCCGCCGCCGCACGCGAAACGCGCGCTCCGAGCGACGGGAACCGCGCGCGGCACGAACGGGGAACGCACGATAAAAATTCGATTGCCCGTACACGGCGCGTAACACACCACGCGCACTGCCGTTTTTTCGCCGCTCGAAAATCGAAAAAAACGCGACACCGCGCGCGTTTCCGTCGTTGCGGGACGAATGCGCTGTAAAAATGCGTTTCCCCGGCCCCGACGGGTATCGTAAAGCCACGCGGTCACGGCAGTAGACGATGATACACGGGAGTTGGACCGGACGCCGATCGATCGATCAAAATAACATTTCGACTGCGGGCAACAGCGTTGGAAATCAATAACACTCGCCATTCCGAAAAATCCCCCCCCCCACCACGTGTCGTCGGCTAGAAACGCGAGTCGAACACTATTCGTTTCGCCGTGCCACGCAGGTGTCGGCACACCGAAAAAAATTATCTCGAGCCGTGTTTATTTTTTATAAATCCGTCTGAAAATGTAATTATCGTCACGTCCCGCGGTCAACACCGTTGCCGTTCGTCGCTGCCGCGACTGCGGTCTTTTTGTCCGCCGCGATCGCCTATAATACGCGTTTATATGTACACGAAATTAGATTTCGGAGATTTTTGTTTTTTTTTTTCCACGCCGGAATATATTTTCGAAAATAACGTTTCCGTTTTGAACGGGACCGGTTTCTGTTGCGACGCGTGTTTTCTCATTACTCGAGAGACCCTTTTTTACGGCTACACAGCGAAAATGTACTCGCGACGTTTTCACGCAGTGCTTCGAGAGATGCGGAATTTCCGTCCGGCGGTATTTTATTTAAAACATCGATCGACGTTTCGAACTGCGCACCCCCTGAGCTCTGTTCACCAACCGCCCCCCCCCCGCGATTTCTTCGCTCGGTTAAAAGAAGGCTTCAAAACTAACCACCTCTGAATGCCGAACTCCTGCAGCGTTATGGCCGGAGGGCACCCTTCTCCTCGTCTCCCTTCTGATTTTTCGTTTTATCCGTTATAGCCGAATGACATTTTATTGTTCTAAAAAAATTGTAGGCAATATAAAAATTATTAACGCCATCACACCTCCTCGCGAATTTTTTATTCTGGCTACGGTGCATAGACGGAATATAGACAAAATTTTGGTGACCGCGAGCGTAAATAGTTTAAACTTACTCGCCTTTGGGTCAGCAAGAGGGGAAGTATGTGGGCGAGGGCATAGCGGCGAAACTCGGGGGGTTTGAATAGTGTTCAAATCAAAAATCGGCGCGCACCGTCCGTTTATCCGTTTTACCCGCGTATGTTTTGTGTCCGGGTATTCGCTGTCATCACGAAAAACGCACGAGAAATCGAAAAATGCAGGCATCTTTAATGCGCTGACTACGTGATCCGGAATATTCGATTAGAAGCGAAATTCCCAGTAGAAAAATCGTTTACACAGATGGAAAAAACGAAACAAGAACGCACCGCATAAACAAACAAAACGGCACCAACGGTAATTACCACGGTAAAACCAATATCGGGACTCCGGTCAAAAAGAGCCAATCTCACTTTTAACCAATACTGCAGGGAAATAAAGAATAAAACACATTTTTAGGCCTTTACGCAGATATCGCAACAGTAATTTTTCAATAACAACATCGGTCTTCTCAAATCTCACAATAATGATTATATCGAGATACGCTCTTTTACCTGCACTAGAATAAAAAGCGTATACAGTTTTACATCATTGGCCGTATAACTCATTTTTGCACCAAAAAAGTGCCATATTGGCTTTTTTTGAAGCCCCAGAATAATACTTTGTTCAAAATCTAAAAAAAAAAAAAAAAATAATAAAAACACAAACATTGTTTTCGGTATTATAATTGGCTGTCGGATTTAAATTATTAAGTCGAGTCTCTCTATAGTGCAGCTGTCGCATGATGATACGGCGGTACATAATAATGTGCGATAGATTGACTACAAAACAGCTCAAAAGGGTCAGAAACGGAACGCGATTCGTCCCCATCACGGGACTGCGCTGTTTGTACATAATATATAATACGCTATAATATGCGAATTGGAAATTATCCGCCGAAATTGCTTTCGTGTCGCATCGAAAAGCGATTGATTCGGAAGCACTTTATTACCTATTCATATGATAATAATATTATTATTGTTGTGCGGTCGTTTGAGGATATCGCGTGGCCGTCAACAATAATATGTAACGACGGACAATGGAAATAGGCCGATTCTGTACCTGCAGTAATATATTTTAACACGAACCTAATAAAAAAAAAAAAAAATTAAAAAAAACAAGGGGAAAAAAGCACACATCGACAATATTATTATGTGTGTAATGTCACCGCAACGCTATTATAATATTATTATATGCTCGTATACGGTCATGTAGTACGGTCTACCGCGAAACCTGCCGCGTACCAGTGGTCATTTTTATAGTTGGCGGTTTTCTATACAGCTAATTTAAAAAAAAAAAATGTAATCTGTAGCCCATCATTAAACAAAAAAAAAAAAAAAAAAACTCGACACTTATACCGTCAACGCGGTATTCATCTGATTCGTCATTTAAACGCACGATTTAAGATAATAGTTAGACAATTAATATACACCATATTTCAGTGATAAGGTAACCGTCAAACCGAACCCCTTATCCGAATAACATATTACGACGTCTCAGAACCACACACGCATACGATTTGGTTCGTGCCAAAAAGGTCCTTAACGCCATTTTTGGCCAAAAACAAGTTACCATAACATCTAGAGTCGAAGGAAATTTGCGTTATTGACAAACGTGTTCCATGTGAACACGAACTAAAAAAAAAATAAAAAAAATCATTATAAAATCTTAAATTCACAAAGTACTAGGAAGAGTTTTTTTTTTTTTTCAATTTTCTCAAAATCAAATCAAAGTGACGAAGACCATTTTTACATGAACCTAATCACAAACACATATACGTACACAAGACTGCTACAGTATACAATAGTATAGTGACGACAAGAATATTCAAGACGTTTGGACGTGTTTTAGACGTCTTGCGGTCGGCCATTCTTGCGGGAAGTATAGTGAATAGTCCGCCAAGCCCTCTCAACCTCTCGCGCCGTACTACCCTTTGTTAACGTCCGCGATTATCGTAATGATAAACGCGCGATAAGATCGACATTCTCACAAAAACGGCGGAAAATGGTCGCGTCGCGATAATATCCGATGCGATACGCAGGCACCCCGTCATTGGGATATTACTTGGCCATACACGAGTACATCGCGTTATTATTACGTATCTGTGCTCGGTTCGCGCTCCGAGTGAAAAAAAAATGTATAAACCGATTCTGCGCTATGATTGTACCGGTATGTTTGAACGACGGCGGCGATATTATATTTGTTCGCAAGTACAGCACAGATTGTACAGTTTAGAAAATAATTACGATTCCGAAATAATAACTGTTCGGAAAACGACGGTTGCAACGGTACCGCGGTAGCGCGCTCGTAATGTTATTATAATCGTCGGTCGGTACGGTACGTACACCACTGTGCGCTGGCAACCGATTTGGCGATTCGGTCGGCGAAAAAAAGCGTTCGTCACGCGTCTAATATATTGGTGTTATTTTTTACACCGCGTTCAAGTTCGTTAAAGGCTATTAATTTTTCCGCTCCGCAGACAGATTATTATCATTATTCTTATGGCACACCACAATTATACGATTATTATTCGAAATGTCGACGAACGCGAAACAAATAATGATGCAAAACGGTCCGGCGTCGTCGTGTAAGTGTAGTCGGTCGCACGCGGTCGCTGCCAATATTATCATTTCCGTCGTTCCGTTCCGCGTTTAAGATGAGACAGCAGAGTATCTCGGTACACACACAATGCATACATAGGTAGACACCGAAATGATAAATCGCGCCGAACCGACGACGGTGGTGGTTATAATAATAGTGATAATAATACACAAGGACATCAGGTGTGATGCGCTCTCGAATTCGCTTTGTAATTATTGACGTGTCAATAAACTCGGTTTTTTTTTTTTCAATTTTAAATAGATTAACGTATCAATATATATATATATATGCGTGTAAGAAGAATTATTGAGGATAAAAGAGACGAATTATACAAGAAAATAATCGAAGGGATTGTTGACGTTGATTATCGAAGGTGAAAGACAAAAATCAAAGGAGCAACACCGAGGATGTTAAATTATAGTATACTCGTGTAAATAATAAGTATGATGTATTATGTATATCTGGGAATTAATAAGCGCGTGGAAATGACTAGTAATCGCGTTTTCGAGGACTGGAGTTTTTTTTTTTTGACAAGGAATCATAATTTGTAGGAGATTCGCGACCAGTAGAAGATTTCGATCGACCGACACATAATATAATGTTTCGGACAACGAACGGCGGTAAAGTAGATTCGGAGATAGTATAGAAATCCGTGAAAAGTGATATCGATAAAAAACGGGGGTCTGGTAAAGTGCATAGGGTAAAGAAATAGGGGTCAGGATCATGCTAAAAAAAAAAACAGGGGAAAAACGGCACAGCTAGTGGCACATCAACTAAAGTATAATCCAATATTTTGCTTTGTCTGGGACCTTGATCGGAAATAACCATCGATTTGTCGTGGAAAACCGTTGCGGGGGGAAACGACGAGTCTCCTTCCGCGGAAAAATGTGATATTGACCCAACATATATTTTGTAAAAATTGCGGAACCGTTTTAAAAAAACCTTTCTGGATTTCCGACGTTCCGGCCGATTGTTTACCGGGGAAATTACGGGGGGGGCCCCTATACGGTATACGGTCGCGGGCGAAGACGGTCGATTTCACCGTGCTTCTACAATGCGTATTATAAAAATGTATTTTGTCGCGCGGCAAAAACGCGTCGGTAATGACGTATTATACCCCAATTATACGATCGTACGACGTTCGCACGCGATTGACGAACGATTGTCGGACGGGGTGAAAAAACTAGAAATAAAAAAAAATAATAATAATAATAATAACAATAATTTCGACGACGACGAAAAACATAATAGGGAAGACCGCTCTGATATACCGTCACCGGATGTACGATTACCGTATAACACGCCGACGACTTGTCATACATTGTTTTGTGTACACATCGCGATCGCACATAATCAATTATACACTAGCGCGCGCGCGTGTGTGTGTGTGTCCCTGCGGGGCTGTTCGCCGGCCGATTATTTATTTACACAAATTGACCGTAATTACGGGGTTATTACCGACGACGCCCTCTAACCTCACCACCGCGTCCCGCGGCCCGCCGGCGACCGAGGCAAATAAAGAGCGAACACACACCGCGCATGCATGCGTGTGTACATGATGCACACGTACTTATTATATTGTGTGTGTGTGTGTGTGTGTGTGTGTGTGTGTGTTTACGTGAGGTCGTCGTCAAATAACATCGGCCAATTTCGTACATAAATACGCGCCGATATATAATTCGATTACGATCGAATAATAGTTTTTTTTTTTTTTTTGTCAAATTCGTTTTTTGGATTTTTTTTTTCCCCGCCCTCGTTTTCTATAAAGCGCGTACCTACCCTATTCGACGTCGCGAGGGTCGTACGTCACACACATACACACACGCGCGCGCGTACACACCGTTTTATACATCACGCAACAATCGCTAACTACGTGTAATATACGATTCGGTTCGTGCAAAACGGACCCTCTTTATAATCGTGCAAATTCCATTTTGAGGAAATTAGAAGAGAAAAAAAAAAAAAATAAAACGTTCAAACTTTGTTAGAATAAAATATAAAACAAAAAAACAACAAAGCCGTTTTCCGGCCCGACGAGTATCAACACGAGATGATCGTAACTCGTAAGGTCCGTTCTCGCACAAAACAACGGTGTAAATACCTCACAAAATTCGAAATCCGTCGTTTAAGCCGAAAATCCGCCAAGACCCATTATTTTTGCACGCGACAAATCATGTACACCTCAGCGAGACACAGATCTATAGCAAAGATCCGGGGGGTGGGGGTGGTCGCTAACATTTTTACAACACAAATACAATTCCAATGTCTACGGTTCTAACGGGATACCATAACAACAATTTAATCAACCACAATCTACTACTTCTGAATGTCCGAGACCACTTTGGCGGCGACATGGTGCACACTTTTGGTGCCAACAATTACAAGTAATAATTACTACATTGGAATTACAGTCCACAGATTATCAAACATGTCTGTGATTGAAATGAAGTATAATATCAGGAACTAGAATTATTAATAAAAAAAAAAAAATTGGAAGAATAATATCTCTGGAGGGCCTGGTTTTTTTTTCTGCAAAATCGGTATTTGACCCGTTATTTTCGGGAAAAATGTCTATATATTTCTAGAATGTGAAAGAAGCGTTCAGAAAAAGTATATTTTGAACATCAGATCGAGTATCGGTTTTTTATCGGTATCAAACATCGGAATATCGGATATGGGCAGTAATTTTATGCTAGCGACAATAAAATATGATGCCTAGTTGAAAAATAAATTAAAACCTCACGTATAGATACGCAGTTTGATCACGGCCATCTACAACCACCGATTGACGTACGGAATGTTATCGTTGTCGAAGTGACGTTTGTTGTGTGAATTATTAGCGCTAGCTGTCGACGGTCCAATTTTAACACCAAAATAGTTCGATTTGATATGCAATTGTTCAATCAATAATTTAGGTGCTTAGCATTTTTTATGTCCATGCAATTGTTTATGCGCAAAATACGAAACCATCGTTTTCCCTATGGTTTAAATGTTAAAATTGGGTCACTATATGGCTGCTATAGCGTTCAAAGTTCACACAAACGCCACTTTTTTTACAGACAGAGAGAATGGCACGGGGGGTATAGCCGCATGCTCCCAACCTGTCACCCGTGTAGATAACCGTGTTTTTAATATACGAAAAATTCGTACCAAAATAACCGTTTTAGAAACAACTCAAGTGTTAACAAAGTAGAGTTAAAATTATTATTTTTTAAACGAATTAAACGAAAGTCATTTGCCAACATTTTCTTTTTTTTGTTAATCAGCTGTGTTATGAATAATTTAACAAGAAAAGTAACTCGTTACAAATTTTAGATTCTAAGTGTATCGAAGTAGCGCTATTAGTTATTCGATGATGTGTTTTTTTTTCCCCGGAAAAACCACTTTTTCGGCTAAATGGGTAAACTTTAATTAACAATGCACCGATTTTGTTATATCATACCTTTAAGACGCGGTTTTTTCTTCTGGCAGTATTTTATTTGAAACGTCATATTATAGGTATATTGATATCTAATTTCAAATGTTCCGTCCTCCAGAGCCTTTCAGTATCTGAACACAACTTAGTCTATTGGTTCTAATATTTCGGGGGTTTTTTTTTCCGGCCGTCAAAATTTTCGACTTAGGTCCGTGAGCAGTATCAACTTTTCACCTATATAAGTTACTGCCCAGCTTTGATATTTTTACGTGCACACAACACTACACGCGTGGTCAAATATAAGATAAGTCCAGCGTTATGTAGTAGTTTTTTTTTTTTTTATATATAAACGATAAAACTTCGACAAATTTCTATTTATTATAAATGAACTTAAAACACGCTTATCGTTTCAAGTTCGAATTATAAAGAAAATCGTAAAAAATCACAGCATTTAAAAACGCGTTTAACCAAAACTTCGCGCAGAAGCGCGTATTTCACCAGTTATAACGATTCGCTGTTGCGTATGGATATAAATTAAATAACTTTATGTATTCAACATTCTCGACTTCTCACCTTCAACAGTGGCACACCCATCAGCAGTGTGAGCTGTTTTTTTTTTTTTTTTTTTAATAGAATACGAGACGTGCGTGTGGCCGCAACGATGTCGTGGGTGTACGACGGATTAAAAAAACGGACACAATTTATAATATACTGCAAACGGGATTCTAATCCATAGAATAGAATATATCGTCAATAACACCAACTGCATTCGATACTATTATACAAGTACTGCGTGCGGGTTTTTTTTTTTTTTTTTTTTTTTTACTCGGTCGTGGACAGAAAGAGCGTTATTTTTTTTTTGTTATTAGGGGAGTCGATGGAAAAAATAATAATAATAAACGTCAGGTTTTTTGATGTGATAATGACAACAGATTTATATATTATATATATATATATATTTTTTTTTTCATTTTTTTTTTTTTTACAATAGACACTGGTTTTTTTTTTTTTGATGATGATCATAGGGAACGTATACAATAACAACAAAAAAAAAAAAAAAAATACATTTTTAACTTTGGGACAATAGTATAAGTAGTAATAAAAACAATAACATTCTTTATCGTAATAATAATCTAATTTTTCATAATAATAATAATAATAATATACGGTTTAAAAAACAAAACAAAAAACCGTTCACAGACAAAAGGGACGACTTTTTTTTTATTCTACACGCTGTACTTACAATACATAATAATATATTATTATATGATATATTTACGAGTACACGTCCGTTGTATCGCAGTGAATACATAATATATATATATATATAATATGTAATAATAATATAGTTAACGAATTTTCGGGACTTTTATTTTTTTTCTTTTTATACACATATAGGACACGATACACACGCGCAGGACGTTTTATGTTTTTTTTTTTCACATATTATAATCTTGGTTACATATTACATATTATATACGTATGTATATACATGGTAAGACTGGAGGTGTTAAATTATACAATAAATATATATTCTAGGATACATCTAGCCGTTTAATACATAATATTACGAAATAATAATATACGCCATACAAATATATAATAATATATTATTTCAATCGCGAAAAAAAAAAAACAAAAAACAACTCGACAAACAAGGTACGAACGCGAATTCATTCCAATCATAACATTATAACCGTTATAGTGATGATGATAATAATATTATAACTGTACATAGGTAGTGGATTTTCTCGAGAAAAAAAACACCTCGCCCACTCGAAGTTTTTTTTTAATTTTTTTTTTTATTATTTTTTTTTTTTTTAATTTTTACATCCTTTATAATAATATTATGTACATCACCGAAAAAAAGCACAAATTTTGTACATTCACAATGTTTTTTTTTTTAAAATATATAAATATAACTCTATATATAACCTACACTTATTGTTTTTTTATATACTGCGTTTTCCTACACTCACGGACTCGGGTTTGTATACCGTATATACTTATATACTTATATACGTATATACTTATAATACACATATTTTTTACAGATACATATAAAACAAAAAAAAAATATTAAACGTTAAATCCGTTACACAAAACTCGAATATTCGCTATTTTTTATTATTTTTTTATTTTTAATATAATTATTAAGATAGGTACTGGGGACAAATTTTAGTTTATATTTTTTTTTGTAGTTTTTTTTTTTAGTTTGGTGCGTAAATTTTATTATACTATTATAAAGATGTTTGCGCACCGGATAAAATAATTAATTTAAAAATTATTAATATATTAGCAATAAAATATTAAACAATAATAATAATAATAACAATAATAACATTATGGCACGGTTCTTTTTTTTTTAATATTGTTAATATTTTTTACCTCCGTTCGACTACATACTTGTGTACGTATACAGACGACGAAATACTTTTAAAAGTTGTGAGTGTTTTTTTCTGTTTGTGCTCTTAGGATTTTTGAGTCGGTGGCGGTGGCGGCGATGATGGTTTTCGACGGACGACACGATGCCTATATATTACTTCACCAGACGAGACCTTCGTTTTGTAGGTTTGGTGCGTCCGAAAACCCACTACTACTACCGCCTGTATAGAAAAAAGAAAAGTCCACAATTATGCACGCGAATCTATTATTAATTTTCGATCGATATTAAATATTAGAAAAACGTTAAACAAAACAAAATGGTTTATTCTGCAGCTCTACACAGCTACAGAGACGCGGGCCAATAATATTATACCGAAGGATGGAAGGACGAAAGGGAGATTAAAAAAAAAAAAAAAAAAAAACCCGAGTACTGTAAATAGGACGAAGAACAGTGGTTCCTTTATGGATCAAAAACCCTACATTCCGTGGTAACGACTTAGAGCTTTTACCCCTCGTCTTGTGACCAAGGCGGCGAAGGTTGTCCGAGATATTCCCCGGATTCTCGGATGCATTCTATACATCAAAAGCGCGGACCCAACTTCCACTCCTCAATTCGCCATTCCGTCTGCACGTAAAACGACCCCGCCGTCGGGTGAGTTTTCTCCGGTCATTTCACCACTAACTAGAGTCACTCATAAGCTCAACCGAATCCAGAACGAACAACACGGAGTACACATTTTATAAATTATTACCGAAGACACTCGCGGAAAACAGAAAGAAATATATAAAAACTAGAGAGCCTGGATATATAAGAGATAGTTGCCGATCCGCTAAACGTTTTCTATTGGTCAGCTGTTATCGCCGATTATGGACGTCGTTTATTATATCTAAATACCTCTAAAGCCCAATAATATTTTTAAATAAGTTACAAGTACACATGTACATAATATGCATGTGTACTGTATATTAGAATTTGCGAAGTTATTAAATATATATAATATTATAATTATATGTAAAGTCAAATATAGGTAATCATTTGATACGAATTTAATTTTTAACAGCAAAACTACGGGAAAAATTCGAACGAGAAACGGCAGCTATATCTATAATCAGTTTACCACTCTCGCATGTTCTTGGCTCTCTAGATAAGACATCTGACCTAAGAAACAATACATGGATATCCGCGATAATACGATGAGAAAATCGAATGGAATTCAAGGAAAGAAAGAAGACCGGGGCATTTCAACTTTGAAACAAATTATGTTAGACATAAGAAAGGGCGACTATATACAATAAATAAAGAACTAAAAAAAGTCGCTATGGATAATATTAGAGCGAAAGAATTTCACCCCGAACGTCGTATAATTAATCGGCCCGAGACTACTGAGAGTTATCAATATATGTATATTATCTAAAAATATGATATAAAGTTTACAAATGCAATTCCCTACTTCTTCGGTCTCTAACTGACAAATCCGATAAAAGTTTTATGCAAATATCAACGTTTTTTAAAAAAAATATTCTCTATTCGAATCTGCGTGTACTCAAAACGTTGCCGAAAATAATGGAAAATTTTACCGAAGATGGTGTTAGGCCACGATTATTATTTGAACGTTTCGTTAGCACGTGAAAAAAATGAATAATTTCTTTGTACTTGCCTTGGGAGCCCATGAATTCCGACGGACTACCCGGCCTTTGCGATGACACGAGCTGCTGGTCGTTGGCCTGCTGTTGCTGCGCAGCGATGAAGCCAGGCGGGGCATCTTGACCCATGTTTGGGTAATCCGGCCCCATTCCAGACATCGGATTAGAATCCATGCCACCTATACGGATCAGAAAAAAAAGAAAGACGAGATATTATTAAGAAAATGTAAAAAAAAAACGCAAATTCCGACAAATTGTGTAATATGCAAGTGAGCAAGTATGGAAGTGTGTATAAAAAAAAATAAAAATAAATAAAATATGTGTAATAAAAAAAAAAACGAGTCTCGTGTTGACATAACAACAACAACTTCGTGCGCTTCATGGCGTTATCCCCGGGAACGTTATTTCTCTACACTTCGCACGTGAGTGCAGCCACTGTTGGTGGAAAGTGGAGAAGATAGGACACAGAATGAAATTTAAAGTATATCTGTAAGCAACGATAAACCATTGCCAACAAAAAAAACAATTCTGAGCGGAATTCAATTGGTAGTGATGCCAAAGTATAAAATAAAGAAATATAATATAAAGATTAATAGTTAAAAGAATGTATTTTATTTTAATATAGCTCGGTCTATATTGTATTGCTGCTTTTTCAACAATCTGCGTTTCCGTGACAACAATTATTGTTTCGAAAAGATTTTAAAAAATGTATAAAACTTAATAATAACAAAAATTAAACAAAAGTTGTTGCCAATGACAACCTCATTGATAGTCGAAGTAAGCTTTTCAATAAAAAAAATAACCATTGTAAAACCAATACATTCTGCGCTCCGCTCAGAATCTAAAATATAAGTATACAATAAGTCAATTTAAATTTTTAAAAAAAGGTCGATACTCTGCTGATATGCCACGGTTTTTAGTTGGATATTTGGACGGGAAGACACATTGATCAATTCAATTTATACACATAAGTACGCAACGATAAAACATTGCTAATCAAATACAATTTTGAGCAGAGTATTGTTATCCGTACGTTTTCCCTTGTCGTCGAGGTAACAGAGAAATCGATAAAAATTGTATACAAACACTAGCCAATTTGTTCCCGTTTATTAGGACGATTCCTAATCAAAAAATAACACGTTCTGCAATACACCACAATTAGATCGAATATTCTAAAAGTTTTTTTATCACAGCAGGATTGCTGGCAGAAAAGTTGTTAACACACTAACAAACAAACCGCAGTAAAACAAATACAACATTCACTAACGATCTAAAAAATACGAAAATGCGTGGAATTTTGTTGGAAACGAAAACAATCAAACACATGCCTATAAATGTATAAGTCGACGGCGATTCGTGCGTTAAAACGACAGTGCCCATTCCCTTTTCTAAAAAAAAAAAAAACTGCGGTAAACCGGTGGAAAAACGGCGGTGGTTAAAAAAATAAAATAAATACGAATTGCGAGAAAATTCGGAAAACCTAACCCGTAACGATGATGATATGGCATACAGTTTTGTGCGGTCGCGGTTCCATACGTGTGTGTATAAATAGGTATACACAGAGACACGTGAGAAACCGCGTAATTGGATATTTGCGGTGTTATTATCGACGACCGTGGTCCGTTTTAGACGTCGGCAACGGAATTGTTATTGTCCATTTGTCATTGTCCGCTGCACATCTGTTTAGAACGCGGACGAGTCGTGCGCGTAAACCGTCGCGTATTTTCGAAATTAATTGTAAAAAAAAAAAAAGTCGGACGGGAGTATTTTCACGTTTACCGCCCGCGCAGTCTTCCGCCGCCGCGTACAGATCGAACACGGCATGACGTGAACGATACCGGA